TGCTATTTAAAAATTACTTTTCATCATATTTTATTTGCTACCTTAAGCACGTCCTCTTTTTGCTGGGGTTTCTTTCTCTCAGATTCATCCAAAAGCGTGTCAGCATGAATGATCCAGCTTGTGATGTGATCCACATTCTGCTCAAAGTTTTCCATGTGTTTCTGGTACTCCTTGATTTTAGAGAGACACACCATGACATATTGGTCAGACAATGTTCTTAAAAGATCCGTCCTATTTTCTAGTTTTAACAGACAAAAATTCAGTATCATTCAAATTACTTTGAGGTGTGATCTCCATATGGAATGTAGCACAAGCATGGAAAATATATTAAAATACAGTGATAGATACTGAATTAAGAGCCAGCATTTATGTGGAGTGAAGGAATTTACAAGCACAAGCATCCTTATGAAATACTTATGTAATTTCTTTCCCATGATGGAGAGGGGTTGAAAAATCTCCCAGCCTCTTCTCTTACCAACAAAAGGTTTAACCACTCTTCTGCTCGGGAAGTGACAGCTATCCAGTTACTATTCAGAAGACTCAGTTTATCTTCCACCAAGGTTTCCTTTTTGCCCAAGACCGTCTTCAAGGCCTCTCCTAGCTCCGTGACACTCTTCAGGTGAACCTTCTGTTTCTCAATCTCTTTCTGAGTAGCCTGTAGAAAGGACAGCATTTGAGCTTCAAGTAATATACTGTAGTTTTAAGATTGAATGCTTCTGAAATGGCTGTGGGTATGGTTGCTACGGTAAGATTTTTCAAGTACTGGAACCGTCAACCATGTCTTTATGAATGAAAGTCATACTGTCCACACTGTAGTTTCCTTATTGGGTATATATGATCATATCCGTATACATTAACATGATTAATTTCACATTTAAGATTTTACATATTTAACAGATAAACGTACATACTATCCATCTAAATATATTTATTTCTATTTAGTTAATTTGTAAATGTATTGGCTAAAGTTAGACCTTAGAAATCCCATCCAGAAATAGGCAGCTACTTTTAGAAAATTCAGGAACTACTGCACTTGTGTATTTCTACAGCAAAACTTTTAGTCTTTTGGTGTCACAAACCTATTTGGCATCTGGTGAAACGTAAGGACCCTTTCTCATAATAATGTTTTTAAAAGCATAAAATTAAATCCACTGGATTTTAAATAAAACCAGTTGTACTGAAATACAATATACAGAATGTCTTTGTTAAATTTGTGAGCTAGTAATGCATGTTTTCCTGGCTACCATGTGTTACTACACTGACCTAGCACCAGATATTTAATTAGGATTAAAGCAGTGATGAGCATAACTGGTGTTCTGAATTATATATACACTGACTTGACTGTTATATAAAAGTATCTGTCCTTTCTACTGGAGGCAAAGTCTCAGGAACTGCTGATATTACTGGGGTTTGCTGCTCACATTCATAACTGAAAAAAATGCTCATTTTCAGTTAGAGGTCAATGAAAGTATAGAGGTAATATGACAATCCCCTGAGAGAGCACTACCGCTATCTAGGACTTGATTTGCGAAACATAAAAACAAGCACATTTAATATTACAATGTAGAAAGTTGATGGGAAAAGCGATCCTAGTACAAGTGTTTACTGTGGACTCTATCTACAGCCCCTTCCTTGTGACATGTCATGGCTGACCATGTGATCATCTCACACTGCCCTGCCTCTGCCCCAGCCCCCCCATTCCTTCCCTTACCCACATGCAGCCAGAGCCAAACAGATCCTCTCTCAAGGTTAACAGAGAGGGTGAGAGCACGCAGCTGAGAAGGCACTTGGAAACAGAGCCAACGTGCTCACCGGAGCAAGCCAAGGCCGTAGTAAGACAAAATCCCTGGGGAGCAGCAATAACAAGCAAGTGGAGGGAGCCCACTTGCAAAGAGCTAAATGAAACGTATGCAAAGAGAGTAAGAGGGGTGGTCCACGCAAAGCAGGGAGGGACGGTCCCTATGAGCCAGCTCCATCTCATTTCCTAGGCCTGGATGCTCTCAAGGTGTCTTCTCTCTCTATAATATACTTAAATAATGTAAATCTGCCTAAATGTCTTTCCTCCACACCATCAGGCCCTGGTCCGCTCCAAACCACTATACACTACACATTTTGTTTCTCCCTTCGATATCAAGTAAGCAAGGGAATAAATAAAGTAAAAAGGCTGCACAAAATGATTCCTATACAAGACACAATGCTGTTTCTTCAATTCTAAGATATCATTTTGTATTTGTGCTTCTGTTTCAATATAAAAATATCTGAAATTAAAGTAATGAATGCCAAATGAACTTATCAGCTACCAAGCGCAGTTATTTGTAACGTAGGTGTCATCTGTTGCACATGAGTGGGCTTAGCAATCACAGAAGAAATTCATTCATGTATCAATCATAAATGCCACTGGGCTCCTACTAAATGTAGCACTTGTGGCAGGGACACAGGTGATTCTAATTAATGAAAATTATGAGAAATTGCTCCTTTGGATGAGAACAGCCCCTCTGGAGCTTGACTTATAAGTGGTCACGGGCTAGATTGCAGCCCTTTCACTCCCTTGTGTAGTACACAGTCTCACAACCACACATGGCAGCCATTTTTCCAAACATTAAGGATAAAGTGATAGAGAAACAAAGTCCCTGTCCTTATAAAGCTTATATTCAAGTATAATGTTGTCAAAGATATGGAAATACATGCAAATGAGCATTCCCTACTTCCTATATTTCAGACTAGCGGCTTGTCACTAGAGTTGATTTATTTGCCAAGTTAACATCTCACAAAGTTGAATCTTAATTTAGATTTGGATCACTAATTATCTCTTAAAATGTCTTCACTAAGATGACACTCTGTTTTAGCTTTGATATAAAAAGCTGTTGTATACACAGACATTTGTCTCTTCCATGCCAGGCAATGCAATTAAAGGCAATGGAAATTTCCAAATCTCAGAAGAGATCGAAAAAGTTCTGAATTTAGGAAATACTGTTCCAAATAGTTCATGGACCACAAACAATTATTGTGCATTAAACATCTGCTAAACTTCTCCAGCTATAATTTTCAAGAGAAAATGTTCAATGTCCAAGGATATCTCATTCTGTTAATAAAAACAAAGACAATAGGAAATATGAACTAATTTCTAGGATCATTTTAGGTTCCTTAAGATTATAAAGATAAAACAAACGTGTTAAGTTCTCACCATCATGAAACAAGGCAGTGATCATTGTGGTGGTTTATAACTACTGTCGCCAAAAGAAATTTACACTATTACTGTAAAAAGACCTAGAATTGAGCCTTTACATGTGGTACACAAGAATAAACAGGTATTTAGTCTTTTGTATAAATACTGCTTTTGGTCAGGAGAAATACTGTGCTCATTTAGTGGATTTTGTATTTTCCCCCACGCAAGTATTTTAAATTAAAGGTATGACGAACACATAATAAGAACTTAGCCTTCAAAAAATATGCTGCTCTAGCTTTCTGAAGATGGTACTTAAATTTCAATTAGGCAAGTACATCAGGTGCTTAACATCCGCTCAGGGCTGTGCCATTCACTCCCGGAGATAGCAGGTGATCTCTGCATACCCTGCTCTAATCTTACCCACAGTGCAGCTGCAGAGAAAAGCTGAAATGCAATCCAGCTTGGTATCACGTTAGAAAGAACATAATTTGGGGGGAAAAGATGAGTCATGGCTGGGAGGAGCACAACAGGCTGCAAGAGAGAGGCGATCACTTGAAACTGGGGTTCACCACAAAGGACTGGATGGTTCCCCTTGACTACAGACAAAGTACAAAGTGATTAGAAAGTACGAAGGTTGGAATCAAAAGCCACCAAAAGGAGAATACAGGCAACTTACTGGAAACTAAAAACATGTATTTTATGATGTCAAGAGGCCACTTTCCCTTGCTCTAATATTTTCCCACTACAGATGAGCGTCTACACTCGCAGGTGTGTTGAGAACTGAACGACTGACTTGAACTGCAGCCATTCTCTCTGAACCCTCCCTCACTTCTTTCTAGGGGAGGGGCTTATTTCTGGGGTTGCTGAGATGGAGGGAAAGCATTGAAAACACATTTCCCCGCCCTTAAAAGCTATCCAGAGGCTCACAGAACTTACGGAGAAATAATGTCAAGTTGGTTATAAATACTGATTCCTACTGTTCCAGGATTTTACTTGAGGCCTACGGAGTATATGTCAGAGAGAAAAAAATAAAAGGAGCCTGCCCTCAAGCAGTTTACAATCTAGATGGAAAGACAGCTATATTAACAAATACCCCTTAAGAACAACTGACAAAGCAACACCTACAAATTAGTCAAGTCCCGTCAGAATAATCCCGAAATCAGTGCTGGCAGGGTCATCTTGTTCAGAACTGAACTGCTCCTCCCTGATTCCAGACCTTGTTGCTGCTGTACCCTATCTCTAATTTGCCCACTGGGTCACATAAACCAGAAACTCAGTCTCCCTGAGGCTCCCACTTTCAACTCCGCACCGAGTTCTAGCCACTCCGGCTCTAGAATCT